ACGCTAGAGTAGACTCGCGAAAAGTGTATAAGACACTTTTAAGATCAACTAAATAGCTAAGCCCAAGGGAAGTCGTTCGGGGAGGCCCTCCCTAATTCCACAAGGGTGAGAAGAAACACACACGATAACGAAACGTTGAATCATGTAGAACTCGTAGGGTAAATGCAAAGCAAATTAGGAAGAATATGCAGTAAGCTAAGCGAAGAGGTAAGCAACGTTAGACTATACTACAACTACTAAACGTGTTATTTCTACTACTACACTACTACTACATACAAAAAAAATAAAAACATCTACAATCAACAATTACTTCAAATAAAGTGAACAAAAATAAGCATGCAAAATAAAAACTAATTCAAATTAACTACAAATAACTACAAAAAAACATGCAAAATAAAAAATTAATTTGAATAAAATCAACTTAATGAATTTTACTAGATGGAGCATGCAAGATAAAGAACTATTTCAACTACGGGGTCATCTTTGTCTTCTCCAGCGTCGATCTGAAACAGATACGGTAGTAATAGATTAATAAAGAGCAATTAAAATTAACTATTATCAAGTTTCTCACCTTAATTAACTGTAGACTGCTACCTCTCAATGTTTGCAGGTGTAAAAAGCAAACCAAATCCAGAATACCACGGCAGAAAGTCTGCTGTTCAAATAAGTCTCCAGTTAACTGCATAGGTTGCAAGGTGAAGATACAAATAGCAAATCAAAACCAAGACCAGAAGAGAAAACACCCATGTAGACATTGGCCGTTTCAGTACAGCCAAACTGAACTCATTTGTTCGATAATCTGCAGAGATGGACAAAAAGTATATTAATTACACTATTAAGTAAGGAAAGAATTAAACACACCCAAAAATAAGCACCAAAAAGCAAGTAAAATTGCTGAATCATAATAAAATGGCGACAAATGTTATTGACACCATGACCATAGATCATGACATAAATATGGATAGTCATAGATGCACGATAATACGTCAATTTATACTCTCAACCATAGACATATAATAATATAGTAGTATACGTCGATGATCTCAATAGATTTTTAAAAAAATTAAATACCGTAGATACACGTTAACCTCAATTTACACTGTACAAAAGATAATTGGTTATTATTAACACATAAAGAGCAACTAATATGACGTCATGCATTCTCACCTTTAACTGCAGGAAGTAGTATTTTAAAGTCTCCAAGTGTAATGGGCAAGCCAAATCCAACAGGAAAACCACTGCAGACAACCTGTTGTTTCAGTCCTTTCTAAACTAATTTCCAGTTGCCTCCTCCTCGAAAGTTCAAAATTAACTCCATAATGTTGCAAAGTGATGACATCAAAAGTATACATTACTTCAGTAGCATCAAAATTAACTGCAATTCCTTCTCTTTTGTTGGACAATCTATAGAAAAAGAGAAGTTAAATTAATTAATTACTATTTTTAAGGCATGTAAATCACAAATAGTTTAATGTGACGATGTGATGATAAAGTTACAGATTGGTGCAAATAAAAAAAGTAGATACCCAATGTACCACTACCGATTAACAAAATTAACAGCTACTATGTTAAATTGTAACATTTAAAACCACTATTCGCGCATATAAAAATGCAAAAATATTATTTTATTTTATTACAAAATGAACTAGGAAATTTTTGAAAAAAAAAAACATTTACTTTCTAACGAAAAAGTTAGTTGCATCTGAAATTATAAATTATTCACACTCCATCTTTTATTGCAAAAGTTAAAAAGTATCTATAATAAATCTCCTAAATTACACAAAAGCTTCCTTTCTATTCTCTGAAACGTTTCTTAATGAACAACAATTAGTAATATCATTAAAATGATGATGAATTACCTGAAATATGTATTGGGAATTGTTTTTCTTTTTTGACAAACAGTCCTGTTACAATGATAAACAAAGTGTTTCGGAATAAAATTAGCAATCATTACGTAAAATAATTATCAGTTTGCCAAGCCTTTTCATTTTATCTTCTAAATTAAAAGTTTTGCAATTACCCTTATTGTTTCTGCTTCCAGCGAATAAAAGGATACTGCTCCATACTGGGATGCAGTGTGGACTACTACAATCACAAACTAACTGCACATCATGTCCAATGTTTGTGTAATATTCCTGTTAAACAATTAAAACAATATTTAAACATGTAACTTAAGACTCAAAAGCAAAAAATGTGATAATAGACCGAGGAAAAGTTATGAACAAGTGAGTTCCTTTGTAGTGATTTGGTATGCAACAGTTGACAGGTTATAATATATCGTTTTTAATTGATTTATAAACATTCACAACAAGCTTTTGTCAACTCACAGATTACTAATTCTGCAATGTTCTACAGATATTTATACTGTTACTACACTAAGGTTTATTTAATTTTTTTTTGCATTAAAGTCACAGTAAATTCAACACAAGCACCTATTCCAAATGAACAGAAGACCAAATTTATAATCTAAATAATTATTGCTGTCTTTTTGATAGTTACCGTTTCATCAAATTGTTTAATTTTAAATTAAAAGTGCATAAAAACGTTATACAATGATAAATAAACAAAATATAAATTTATACTGAATTGACTACTAATAGCACATATTCAAACTGTGAATATGAATCGTTGGTTAATAAGCATAAACGTTCAACACTTAAAATCAGAAAATCCACATATCATACCTACCATAATATATGTTACATTTATTTTGTTTTAAAAGGTTTAGAGCCTGTTAGCCAAATAAACAAACAAGAAATAAATAAAACTGTTTTATGTGAAATTTTAGGTATTATTAATATTTTCTTTACTTCATTCTATAGAACTTTTTTTCATTTTCTAGCATGAACATACTTATAGTAAAGAATTATGAATGTTTTTTTCTGATATTAAATGAATCTTTTCTTGGTCTATGTATTCTCACTTACATAATGTCCCAAGGTAAAGAAGTTTCACAAGAAGGATACCATCATACCAATAAAAGCGAAGTAAATTCAATTGCTCTTCTTATTCACAACTGAAACTGAGCTAGAAAAAACAACCAAAATAGATTAAACACAGATTAAGTACGCTACTAAATTAATAAGATATAATAAACAGCTAACAATTGGTCTAATTATTTGACAAACAACCTTACCTTTTGATCCAATTTGTTTGTGTTTCTATACCAGTCACAGAGCTTTCTTTTTCATCATACAATCGTTCCTACCTCCACACTTCATTCTGGACCCTTCCCATAAAACACATTGATAAGAAGAGGTCCCAAAACAGCACTAATTGCTTGATATACTGTACCATTTTCTGAAAAGAAAATGACTTTACCCACGTTATAATATTATAAAAAATCAAACATTGATAATTTAAGCCGAATCTAGCAAAATCAAGCTATATTTTGAAACCGCGTGTGCTTAACATTCTGGGGAGATACTATAAATAATAAGCACTCCGAAAAAACAATGTGCATATTGTAATCAGCTGTATAGCTTAATTAATCAGATTTCGACTATTCCATGACTTCAAGCAGAAATTTTTACACAAGAATTTTAATTACTTACGAAACCCACCAAATTATCTAACCTTAACCATTTTACTATATTGTGGAAGAGATATTATTTTTGTATTATATTAGTCTACTAGGACCATAGATATGATTAAGTCCCAAAAACGTCTAATAATAGAACTTCACTGCAATAGTGTCCAAACTACCGGGGTCCATGCTTTTAATTAAAAAAAATTGTTATTGCATTGTTCAATACAGTATTTCATTTCGTTTGTGTAAATATCAGCATTTTAATAATGTAAAATAAGAACTTGTTAATACTTTTAAATAAAATTTAACCAAAACTTAACCGATAGAATCTATGGTTGTTTCAATGCATAATGACGTCAATTTTTAGTAAAGTAAAATATGGTAAAAAGTAACGTTTATGGTAATTAATACGGTCAATTCAATTCTGAATTTTTATAATTTGAAAGTGGTTTTAAGTTAGATTTCTAAGTTTACTAATATTGTTATTATCATTACTGTTGAACGGTTTAATAACGAATTACTTTTCCATCTTCTTGATATGTCAGCTCCGGTAGTAATAAGTGCTACCGCAAAACATTCTGCTACTGTAAGTGCCTTTTTAACTGTCAATAATATATTTCATTTTTATAATTTTTCAGTTAATTTTTCTTCATGGATTGGGGGATACAGGGTATGTAACTAGAATGCATAAAATAAGAGTAATTCTTCCTTTTGAACTATTTTAACCTCATTTATTTAAGGCAAGGATGGGCAAGTGCAATGGCTGCTATTCGTCAGCCTCACGTAAAAGTGGTGTGTCCAACAGCTCCTACCATGCCAGTTACTTTAAACGCTGGTTTTCGAATGCCTAGCTGGTTTGACTTGATTACATTAGATGCTTCTGGTTCCGAAGATGAAGAAGGTAAAGAACCAAAAACTGGCTAGTATAGTTTTGAAGTATATGTTTTCCAATACATTTCAGCATGTACTGTAGCTAACTTTATATGTAAACATAAGTTGTTTATAAAAATATTTATGCAACAGTTGCTAGGTCTGATAAAATCCAAGACTATTGCATGTTTGCTTTTTTCACATTAAACTGTTAACTTATCAAGTGGAAATTACATATATTGCTGTTTATGAAAAATAAGAGGATTATCAAATTTGTTATCAAGGAATACGTCAGGCAGCTAGCAACATTCATGCAATGATAGAAAATGAGGTAAAGGGGGGCATTCCTGCTGATAGAATATTGCTGGGAGGATTTTCACAAGGGGGTGGATTGGCACTTTACTCTGCACTCACTTATCCTTCAAAATTGGCAGGTGTTATTGCTTTATCCTGCTGGTTGCCTTTACGTAAAACATTTCCAGCAGAACAAAGATGTCCTCCAGAAATACCAGTAAGCATTTACCCTGTTGTTTCTTTTTTTATGATATAATTTTTTTCTTGCAAATTTTGTAGGTGCTTCAATGTCATGGTGACTGTGATCCTGTCGTTCCTTATAAATGGGGTCAGATGACAGCATCTCTTTTAAAAACATTACTTAAATCTCCAGAATTTAAAACATACAAAGGTCTAATGCATACTTCGTCTGATGAAGAGCTCCAAGATATGAAAGTGTTTGTTAGCAAACATTTACCTAATATGTAAAACTTAATTCATTTCAGAAAAAAAAAGGATCCTAGAATCTGCGGCTCCTTTTACCTCTTGAGCATGTGTTTAGTCAAATTGTATTTATTTTATTCCTTTATTTACATTCCTAGGATAAAAATGTTGAAATATTATTACAATTTAAGGAACAAGTTTTAAAAGTATTAAAAGGTACTATTAACGACCTCCTTTTTTGTTGGAATCATAACAATATACAATTAAATTGAGCAATAAATAATTGTCTCATACTGTAGTTGTATTATTTTTTGTATCAGTTACTGAGTAAATAAAGCCTAACAATAAAATATTGGTGTTTTGATTTTTTCTTATTACTTATATGTAGCAGGATGTTTTGAAAGGCAAAATAAAAATAAAATGAAAATCGTTTGTGTAAAGTTATTCTATCTAAAGAGATTCTGACTACAGTGTTGGTTTACTATTGATCATAACACGAAAATTTTAATGGATTAATGTATATCAAACTATATTTTTTGAGAAACTTACATCCTTATAAACACATATTTATTTATTGCAAGATTGAGTAAGTAATTAACATTATTTGCCTAATAATTTTCTTACATCAAGCCCAGTATTTTTGTAATATATTAATTTTTATATACAAAATTTTCTTCTTAAACAGAAGCAAGGTACTAGTGAACTGTAACCACCTTTTTTACTGTATGTGTATATTTTTGTTTTATATCTGAATGACATTCAGGATATCGGACATAATTTTGTCCAATTTATTTTCAGAATGTTCATCAAACCAGGTAACATTTGGAATATTTTCTTCAACATCTTTCTTTTGTTGAAGATGCTGAGGCCAAACGTACTTTTCAAAATAACCTGGGACATCAGGAGGTATATAAGATCGTTTCATACGTCTGCTGTAACATTCATCTTTGGTCAATGAAATATAATATTTCAAATCACAAAGATCAGCTACAGGACGATAATTAAAAATACAGAAACCTTCAATGATTAGTATACTAATATTATTACTGGTTAATTTTTCTCTAATGGTTTCTACAATATGTTTACTACTCAAAGTTGTCTCACCATTGAATTTATTAAGAATAAAATCTCCCTTTCTCTTTTGTACCATAATGTTGATGTCCTTTAACATTTTTTCCATGTCCAGACTTCCAAGGCTATCAAAATTTTTATGCTTTAAGTCAGGTATATCTTCCAATCTTGGATCATCTGCTTCAAAAAAATAATCGTCCTGCGATATGACTTTTGAATGGATCGGAAATTTATCGTGTAAATTATTTGCCAAAGTTGTCTTTCCACCGCATGTTGTTCCACTTATACCAATTATTAACCACTTTTCACACATCTCAATTAAAATACTAATCTGCGAAAAAACGAGGATATGATGATAATACATCTGATTATGTAATACTTATCATGCTGATAAATTTAAACTAAAAAGGAATGAGTTTAAGCACCTCTAAACTTCAATACAGTAACCAATTTTATAATGCTTAATCCTTAACCATTTGTTTAACTTTTTAAGTAATGTTCAACTTTGCAAAACATGTTTATACTGTTTTCGTTTTAACCTCATTTTTACCAAATTGCTTAAATATCTGTCGTCACGAGTTTTTCTTTTGTAAATAAACGTTGATACAAATCATCTTAATACTCATAAACACGTTCCTTGTCTGGTACTTAATCGGATAATTGTTTAAACAAACACGTGTGTATATCATATGCACCATAGACAAACATTACATTTTGCGTTAGCTTCTTTTTATGCGCAAATTTGAGTAAATTGTTTGGCTAATAATACGAAATATATAGGGTGATCAACGGAAAATAAAATAAGAAAAACATTTTAAACATTATTACGATACGTTCCTTTACTAAATGTAATAATAAACATTCTACTTTACTTTACTTTTGCTTCTTAAAATTTAAAAATGACGAAAATATTCTTTAGGCTTATCATTTGAAAAACTTAACAATGACGTACAAAAATTATGTTGTGAAAATACTAAGCAGCTTTAGGCATCATTTTGCCAGTTACAAAATGATGAATAAATAATCAATCGATATTATAGAAACCACAATTTTTTGATTAAATTAATTTACTAATAAAATCAGATTAATATGAAAACCTTCATTGATCTACTAGTTTACAGTGGTACCGCCCCTTAGTAGATACTAAAGCTTTATCGGGGGGCAGTAGCAGATCCTGACACAAATGGAGCAGTCAAGCCAGTAAAATTAATTACATGTAATAATTCTTTTTTATAGTGACTGAATTCTTTTTACTTTAAATGCAATTATAAATAAAAGAATTCAACAAACTAAGTTTAATAACTTTAGGTGTTCTAAAGGTACTCAATTTTACCCTACCGCTTGCTATTTTCATAAATAAATAGACAAATTAGGTACCCCCACGTAACAATATTTTAATATTTGTAGTCTAGGATTATGAGAACACCGATGGAGTTATTTATTCGCTAACAAGTGTGGTTGATTGACTCAGTGAACGTAGCAAGGGCGTCTTTTTATTGTATTAAGAACTCCAGAACCACAGCTGTTGGCAAAACGTTGAGTAAACGACCTTAACGGTGTTCTTACCGAATAAATCAATTTTAGACAATGGCCATTAGGCATTTGGAGCACCATTCTGATAACAGTGGCCGTGAAAGCCTTAGCTTTTTAGTCCTTTACCATCTCTAAAATACTGGTCAATTACTTTGGTATAAACCACGAACATTAATTTCTTAAAACGAAAATTTAACCATTTACAAACGTGATATACATGTATTAAGCAACTCAGTGGTGGAGTCTCAGTATTTTTCAAGGAAGGAATAGGAATCAAAAAGCAAATAAAACAAAAATATTGAAGCTTTGGCATATTTGACATTTTATTATTAGAAGTAAATTAACTGCTTTAAAGAACCTCATTCTTAATTTATTATTTTATTCCCTATCCGTATTAAGTTAATAGCGGGTATTTTAATAACGAACTCAATGATTAGCTTAAAATATGTATTTATGTATGAGTGCGCGTATAGTTCATTGCCTTTTCGCCATTTAAGCAAACCAAAACCATACTTCAAATATTTATATTTGCAATTTTTATGACATCTTAGTGTTACTCAACAGTTGCAACGCTTCAACACAAACAAAATTTATAAACCACATTATAATTAGTTAATATTAGAATGGGGGTGTAAACAATTAAAGCGCATTAGTATTATGTAGATAAATTGCAATTATGTATATGTATAACTCCAACAGAACTGATATGTGATATATGTATGCATACTTATATTATAGAAATTGAAAATAAAAGTTCACTTTCTCGTCGCAATAATAAAAACTGACTTTGAACGTAGACCGAAAACAGAAAAAAAATCAATTCTATTACCGATTGATGCAGCTGCTGTTTGACAAACCTATCGAACCCTTAATCATATTATCACTTAATAAATATACCACAAGTAAAGGTAACTATTCACTTAAATAATTAACAGTGGTTCCCGTGGGATCGTGAGAACCCATTAGTCTCTTAATTATAAAGTACAGATTGTTTCCTACTGTACAATCTAAAATATATATATTTACATTTGTACAAGATTGACCTCCGATCAAACTTTGCTAATCACCTGGATGTTCGGGGCATGAACGATTCACCTCAAACCATTGGTCTATGCATCTGAAAAAAAAAAGGTAAAAATTAATTCCTTCGTTATATTTACTGTCAAGTCATGGCAGTATACACATATGTAAATCGTCATTTATTGATATTTACTGTAAACAGTAGCGTTTCAGACTGACTGACTGAGTGCTGATGAGAACTAATAAATTCGACGTCGTAGGTTTCCATAAATTACCGACTAAAAACTTAATAATGTACTACAGCACTATCAATAGATAATGATATGCAGCCAATGATTTGATATTATATCAACTAGCTTTTAGAGAGCAAATTTTATTTGTTCGGTGATTGATTCAAAGTGGGTATGGCGTGCTCATGGGAACTAATGGGTTCAAAATCGCGATTTACGTCTAGTCGGTTCAGTAAGTTATTGACCAAAAAGATACTGTTTTTGTTTTTTTGACCAAATCGGAAACATGGCGAGTATACATGGTGTCTCGAAAAGTACGCAATATTCTCTGAATGCAAGATCGTCTGCAGCATAAAAATTTGATTTACTATACTATACAGTGTTCGAACATTGAAATAAGGTTTCATTTAAACGCCAGCCATATAAAAGATGGATCCAATTGAAAAATTATTCAGAATGCCAAAATATGAAGCTATGCAAATACCTGGGCTATATATTTTTTGACATAACTTTTTTCGATTAGTCCCATATTACATTGGCCTGTCATTTAAACGAAACTGTTTTTTTTTTCATTTTCGAACACTGTACAGTACATTGGGAGCAAGTTTTCTTCGAAAAATTTTTCAATTACAATCACTATTGGGACGCAATTAGCATATTTCGTATTTTTTTATCCACCCTGTATAAACTCGTTTTAATGACTGACTATTTTAATAGAAAACGTAGTAGTACCTATTCAATTTTAAAATAATAAAATACGGGGAAAGATTTCCATTTAATTCCCTTGGACTAACAAGACTATAACAAATTACAATAAAAATTAAATGGAACATACAGATTGATTGAATAAAGACAAATCATTCTTATTGAACGAACGATACATACTAATAAATAGATGCCTCAGACTAAGTTAGTACTGATAAAATTCGTGCATGACAGACTGATTCATCCAAAATCAGCTCATCTCTTACACTAAATCGAATGTACACTATACATACAAGTTCTTCCCCCCATTAGTCACTGTGAGTTCGAAACTGTTAGTACCATTGCTTCGAGTGGTCTAAATTTACTTTTGTGAACAATTTGTTTAATCACTTGGTTTGTGTTAAAATTGTTTGAAATATTAAATTTGAAGGAATTGTTTGTGAATAGGTATGCAACACATCGTACACTCCAGCATAAGAAATTGCTCATACTAACTACTTAATACTACTTTGCCCTATACTAACAGCACTCATAATTTCATTTATATCTAATACAAGATCTTCCCCCTTAACAGTCATTGTGAGCTCAAAACTGTTAACACCATTGCTTCAAGTGGTCGAAATTCACTTTTGTGAACAATTTGTTTAATCACTTTCTTTGTTAAAAATTGTTTAAAAAAATAAAATTAAAGGAATTGTTTGTAAATACGTATGCAACACATTGTACACTCCAGCATAAGAAATTGCTCATACTAACTACCTAATACTACTTTGCCCTGTACTAACAGCACTCATAATTTCATTTATATCTAATACAAGATCTTCCCCCTTATCAGTTATTGTGAACTCGAAACTGTTAACATCATTGCTTCAAGTGGTTGAAATTCACTTTTGTGAACAATTTGTTTAATCACTTTGTGCTAAAAATTGTTTGAAAAGTTGCATTTAAAGGNTTTTATTCAAGATGCTTATGTTAATTGGTACCATTTTCACAAAATTTAAAATATATTTTTTCGTTTTAATAACTACATATTTCCATCATTTATGTACTTATAAAATGAATAATTAGTTAATTGTAACTATTCCTTAATGTACTAATTTTGGTCAGCGATTATTATAATTTATAGTTTAAGTGATCATTCCCGTAAATACACATACATGAATAAACAAATAATAAAATTAATAAATAAATTATTATACTGAAGTTTCAGATTCCCCCATATTATTTATTGCAATTCTTTCATGCTCACGTTGATGTCTCAAATATATGTCAAAGATCATCGACGACCACAAGAATATTTGTTTAACATTGTTTCTTCTAGATAAACGCTACCCTAGTCCTTTTCTGTATCCACCCCTGACAATGTGTCTACAAAATTTCATGATTATCGATTGAATAATTAAGGTGTGAAATCGAACACAAAAACTATTTTTTTTATCTCTCGGGAACAATATTTTTTCTTCTAGATAAAAGGCACCCTCGGCCTTTTCTGTATCCTCCCTGACAATGTGTCTACAAAATTTCATGATTATCGATTGAGTTATTAAGGCGTGAAATCGAACACAAAAACTATTTTTTTTATCTCTCGGGAACAGTATTATTTTTCTGGATAAAAGGTACCCTATGTCCTTTTGTGTCCCCTTGACAATATATGTACAATGTTTTATGATAGGTTTTACCCGCGGCTTCTCTCGCGTTGATATCCTAAATACGTATAAAAGATCATCAACGACCACATAAAACTAATTGTTCTGTACCACGGGAACAGGGTTATTTTTCTGAATAATAGGTACCCTATGGCCTTCTCTGTACCCTTGACAACTTGTGTACAAAATTTCATGATAGGTTTTACCCATTCCTTCGCTCACGTTAATGTCCTAAATACGTATGGATCATCATCGACGATCACATAAAACTATTTTTTTTATCTCTCGGGAACAGTATTCTTTTTCTGGATAAAACGTACCCTATGTCCTTTTGTGTCCCTTTGACAATATCTGTACAATGTTTTATGATAGGTTTTACCCTCGGCTTCGCTCGCATTGATGTAAAAGTTTACTGATGACCACATAAAACAGAAACTGAACTACGAACGAACTTGATTCATTTGCAGTCTAACTTGACTGTACCGCATCGGTTGTAACGACAATTCTGATATAACGTCAGTTCGTAATAGTCCTGCAAATTTATCGGTCATCATAATTTTTATTGCTGTAAATCTATGAAACGGTCGTCTTATTGCCAGATGTCATCATCTTGGTAGGCAAAGTGAAAAGTCGCCAATTCCCACTTGCTTTTCTTTGCGGCATTTACTGTTATTATTATATGGACCACATAGTGCAAAATATGTTTCAAAAATTGCCTAATGTCGAAACATTACGTCAAAATCTCACCGGTACTCTCAGGTGACGCTATAACCAAGCTCTATTGTAATTTAATTTTGTTTGTGTGTATATTCACGTTTTGAATTCTGTTTCACATTTCCTACGTCCCTTAGGTAATCAGATTAAGTAATTTGTTTGTAAAGGACCTACTTTAATTGTCAGCGTAAAGTTTTTGTTATAGAAAGGTTGAGCTGGCATATGGATAGAATAATAACAATGATGGGGTGGTAGTGTCTTTGTTCTTGGTAGAGCGTTGTCCTGGAGTACGTAATATTTTTTTACAAGCCGTTACCGTTATTTCAGTCCTTTGTGACAGAGATATTAGTATGTGAGGGAAGAATGGGAGTTGTGTTCAGCAGAAACAATTGAATACTTGCACCAAATGGCAGAGGAGTGTAATGACTGCAATTNGGGAACAAATTTTTTTCTTCTAGATAAAAGGCACCCTGGCCCTTTTCTGTATCTACCCCTAACAATGTGTCTACAAAATTTCATGATTATCGATTGAATAATTAAGGTGTGAAATCGAGCATAAAAAACTATTTTTTTTTATCCCTCGGGAACAATATTTTTTTTTCTAGATAAAAGGCACCCTGGCCCTTTTCTGTATCTACCCTTGACAATGAGTCTACAAAATTTCACGATTATCGATTGAGTAATTAAGGCGTGAAATCGAACATAAAAAAACTATTTTTTTATCCCTCGGGAACAATATTTTTTTCTTCTAGATAAAAGGCACCCTGGCCCTTTTCTGTATCTACCCCTAACAATGTGTCTACAAAATTTCATGATTATCGATTGAATAATTAAGGTGTGAAATCGAGCATAAAAAACTATTTTTTTTTATCCCTCGGGAACAATATTTTTTCTGGATGAAAGGTACCCTATATGCTTTTCTGTACCCCTAACAATGTTTCTACACAATTTCGTGATGATCGGTTAAGTAGTTAAGGCGTGAAAAGCCGAGAAACAAAACAATTGTTTATAAATATATAACAATTGTGATAGATTAAAAATTTTTTTTACTGTTTCATTCCCGCCGGCTTATAATTCTGGTGAACGGGTAGTCTCACCTACCTACACTTAGTGCATAGAATACCTTTGACTCCTATTAGGGTTCCTGATTTAAATGTTGGAAAATTATTTAGAAATTGTTTGATGACTTACAATTAATAAGAACCTTAATACATATTTATATTTATCTTCACACATTTTCCAATAACGTTAATTTATTGCCTTTGTTATTCTACAAATTCTCATTAAATAAATATCTCCCCCCGAATCTATACGCTCTCGTTTGTTTCCTTTCGAATGATAAGGCTCAATTGTAAGCATCTAGGTTCTAACTGAATTGGCGTAACAATAAGACGGGATTTTAGGATTTTATTGGAAATAATAAGGTTTTACTGCAAATCAATACGTAATTGCTTATTTCAAGAACGTGTCCTTCGAAACAGTACTGCCTGATGGATTTACATATTTACGAAGCGAAGTACAAATGGATGTACATTGTACACGGGGTAGATACTTAGAATACATGTATGTATTGTATGCGTAAGCATTTATTATAGATACAATAAATGGGAACGGAGGTTACACATAAATATATTATATGTAATTTGTTCTGCTATTACAGAAACTATTTCAATTCTCCTCGATTAACGAAACAGTGTAGATGTACATAACAAAAAACATATATATATATATATACACATGAACAATGGTTGATGCGATAGCTAAAAAAAACAGTAATAACTAAACTGTGATATGTTTTTAATATAACAGTGCAAATATAATTCGAATTGAATATTCCTACTAGAAATTATTCGATCAACTGTGGTCGCCATCAAATATTGAAAGATATGGAAAAAAGTTTCAATAAAAGTTTTTCACAATGCCATTTTGCAAAAAAAGTATTAATGACAAAAGTTCTGCGCGCCCAATGGCAAAGAAGACTCAAAATTCGCGGAAATTTTTAAATAATTCAAAATAATTATTAAAAATTTAAAATTGATAATTTAATCGATTCGTAACTTATCTGAATCGGTTAAACTATCTTTTCGGAGAAAAGAAAAATTTATCTATTATTTCATTGTTTTTGTAAAGAATTAAATGTTTAAACCGCTATAACTCCGTTAAAAATTGTCCAAATGCGTTACTTTTTGCATCAAAATTTGCAGCAGCCTAAAGCGTCTTTTGTTGACCATACGTGGGGACGGCTAGTTGTCGTTATAAGTCACGTGTGGACGCTTCTAATGGTAACCACAAGTGGTGGATGCGCGAGCGGTTTTTTAGACAAACGTCAATATGTAACTCCTTAAAACCATAAAATAGGTATATTCTAAGATTTTTCAAAACAGGACATCCTAAACTTACTATAGCCTAATTATTTCTTTCGTTTTTAATATGGGATTGACCAACCATTTCGCGGGACGACCTTTGACTATACCATCCGCACATAACAAATGTACCTACATGTAATATCTGATGATTATCAATTATTTTTAAACGTTTTTGTTTGTTTATCCAGGTTAATCTCAAATAAATATACTTGTATGTAATATCTAATCATCATCAATTTTTTTTAATCTTTTTGTCTGTTTGTCCAGGTTAATTGTAAAAACCTTCAAACCTTTATAACTTAAAGACAGGCCCCCCTTCATAGAATGTTTTATCTAGACACATACCTTTAACTGTTCTGAAAAAATCGCGCTATGTAATATTTATTTACGTAGTTATTCATACGCTTAATTATTGTTTTATTCAAGATGCTTATGTTAATTGGTACCATTTTCACAAAATTTAAAATATATTTTTTCGTTTTAATAACTACATATTTCCATCATTTATGTACTTATAAAGAAAAGCATTAAAATAAACAATTCATAGATGATCTACATTTTAATCTAGTTCAATAGTAGGTCAGTTTACACTTCGTACGAGTCTATTAGTATACATTGTTCAATTGTGACCACATGTGACTTCACAAATTAGTAAAATTATAGGA